CGAATTTCTTTGAATCTCAAAATCGAAAAATTTGAAGATTTCGATTTCTTTAGATCTAAATCTCGAAAAATTCGAACGCTTCGAATTTTTATAGAAATAAAGTTTAAAAAAAGTCGAAGGTTTCGATTATCTTTTAGGACTAAATTTGAAAAAAAAAAAAGAACTTCGAAGATTTCGAATTCCTTTCAAGTCCAAGTTGCCAAAGTTTAAAGTCCAGTTTTCATGTTCCTCCACAGTTTCAGTTTCAAATAACGTTGTCACGCCTCACTGTTTTTCACGAAATCAGGCTTAGAAAAGTTCGGGTGTGATAATTAGACTGCGCGAAGTTGGTCAGGCAATTAAATGAGACGACGAGTGTCCCGGAGGTGCTGGAATATTTTTGCCAGTGCAGAGTCGCGTGTGACCATAGAGAAGTAATTGTGACCGCCAGCCCGCGTTTTTTTTTTTAACGTGCATCAACGCAGTACTTACCACATGAACGCACTGTTTCACGATACTCATCCAGTTCGAAACGGCCAGGGGCGGGCAGGAGGTTGAGGCTCAGAAAGACCTTGAAGCGATCTGGCCAACTACCTCTCTACTCCCTTGCACGCTGGCACGCTAGTAGTAGTCCGATCGAACGCCGCCCGAGTGACGCTGGCATATAGTAAGTTTAGTTTGTAATTGTTTTGTAGGTTTATTTTCCGGCACGGAGGAAACGCCGAGCAAAAAGTACAGAAGCCGACACAACTCGAGGTCGAGGAGCATTCTACCATACCAGTGGCGTCGGAAGAGAAAACGAGAGGGGGGGGGGGGAGAAGGGGGAAAGGGGGGGGCTCTAGTACTCCCCCCCCCCCCCCGTTATTTCGGTCTACTAAAGAAAACAATACGGGCGAAGAGGGTGTGGTCAAGCTTATTTTAATTTGAAATTATTTATGCGTATGTATGGCTACTGTCGCTCTTCACTGCATAAAATATCGCGTAGATGGTCATTGTTGAAAACTCGTTCTCAGAAGGCACAACTCATCACATGCTTGGTGGTTTGGAAGTTGAAAGCTATGTCTTTTCAACCTAAATGACTGCGCCATTAGTGAAAAAAAAAATAAGCTAAACAACACATGCGGGAGTGAAAAGCTGGAGAAAAAAAACACTATCAAGAACTTGCCAGAAGCGTTGTAGTTTGTGGGTTCCCTGCCCACAGCCGGGAAGCCCCGGGTTCTCGTCCGTGCGGTTCATCCCGGAAGAACACGTAACAACAAGGAAGGATTTCTTACGTCTCCTTTATTCCTCGTCTTGACCCCGAATGCCCCTGCGCCTCCCTCCCCCCCCCCCCCCCCCCCCCCAAGCTGCGCCCTGCCGGCGCGTGGCGCTGCCGTCGGGCGCCTTGCCCTCTGCCGGCGCAGTCAGTGTGGCGGCAGCCAATACAAGTTTTGCATATTAAGAGGCTCAGAACTTCGAAGCACGTTTCTCCTACCAAAATGTGTACAGGCTAAAAGAAACACGTCCCAGAAACGTAAAGCGAGGAAATAAAAAAAATAATTAAAAATGTTTTTTTTATGACGTGCTGAACTTGAACAATTTTAGAAATCTTCGCCCATGCATTAAATTTATTCCTCAACGTGAAAAAACAATGAATACATCATTTTGTATTTTGCAGATGGCCACGATATGTACTGTCCGTAGTGGTAATTTAAATGCAATACCTCAAACAATTTAGATGAAAAAAATTACCAAATTTATTGCATAATTGCTCGTAAATACATTTTTGGACATTTTTTTCAAAATTCACCTGAACAATGTTATTCAAGATGAATTTTGAAGAAATGTCCAAGAATGTATTTATGAGTAATTATGTTATATCTTAAGACGACACTTACCTCGGCTATACAAAGATCATTTTTAAAAAGTTTAACATGTCTACCATAAATAGCTTCGGCTATAGCGTGCTTGAAATATGGCACAAACGACAATCGTCAAAAATCCGTCTTCCTTCCTCGCTCCTTCGGGAATCTATTTCTTTAAAAGTAAGCATGCTAGAACATTGAAATAAGCGGCATTGTCTTTCGCAAGAAATGCGGCACCGCATGTAAATTCGAAGAAAAAAGAAATTACGAATATACCTTGAATCCAAATGAAACCGGCCGCCGATTTTTTTTAAATTACTTCGAACTTAACCCTAAAAGGTCGAAGTTCGTCGATCTTTTGGCTTTTCAGGAATTGAAAGTTCGAAAGTCTTCGAACTTTTTAGTGCAAGAAATTCGAAAGTTAGAAAATCATGGAATTTTTTTTTGTCTATCAAGTTCGAAAGTTTGACAAGCATCGAATTTTGAAGCGTAATAAGTTCGAAAGTTTGAAAATAATCGAATCTTTTTGCGTAATAAGTTCGAAGGTTCGAAAAACATTGCATTTCTGAACGTGCGAAGTTTGAAATTTCGAAAAGCGTCGAAGTTCTTAGGTCAGTAAGATCAAAAATTCGACTTCCGTCGAATTTTTTTATATAGAAAGGTCGAAAATTCGAAATCTATTGAACCTTTCGAACCGCTTAATTCGATCATCGAAACTTCGGTTCGAAACAGGTTGGCGGCATCCCTAGTCTCAGCCCTTTATGATCTGGCAGGCTTGCCTACATTGCAGCATAGACGTAAGGTGGACAGATTGAAGTTTATGGTCAGTCTTAGTTCCGGTCATGTAAACCTGAATAAATCTTTGTACATAACACCACTTGGAGTCCCAAGATATCCTTCCAGAAATCGAAATGGCAGAGCCTTCGCCGAGTTGAGCTGCAGAATATATGCTTTTATGTATTAATTTATTCCACGAACAGTCAATGACTGGAACAAGTTACCCGAGGAAATTGGTCATTCTTGGAGCTTGCCAGAATTTGTTAATCGCTTAAACAACTACCTGTAATTTTTTTTGTTTGCTCGGTGTGTATTATTTTGTGAGCTGGGACTGTGATATGTAGGGTGTATTCTTTTGTTTCTTTCTTGTGTACCTCTTTGTTCTATTATATGAATCGGCGTGGTTGACTTTTGTATCTATGCTTCGAGGTGTATTTACATGAGAGCCCATTTTTCGTTTTTAGGCACTGTCAGCTGCTAGACTGTTGTTTTTGTATATTTGAAGTGTTTTTTCACACCTACCATGTCTCCGAATTGGAGGATGTGGTATTTATATATAAATTAAATCAACAAAACTTTCGAGGAGCTTTTAATGGGCATTTAAGTTCAGATACTTTGAGCAAGTTTGGCATTTCAACGTGTTGGTAGATCGAATTAAGTTATTTCTTTACACTACAAGCTTTCCAAAATTATAAAACATTTATATTACACATCGTTCTTAAGAAAACTAATTTCAGCTATTTTCGCCGTTTCGATTATACACTCATTTTGGAATTGTCTATTCGTTACATCTCAAACTGTTTTCAGTTTGGTTAGCTAAGCGTCACGGGATCAAAACCTCTTGGACGAACGTCCTCGTGGAGCCCGATAATTGGGTATTCTTTTGGGACGACAGGATCATCCGAGATCTACATTTAGGTTGTGAAGTTGGGACATCACATTTGTTTTGTAATGCAGACGGCAGATCGGAATTAAATAAAACAGCAGGAACAAAGCACACTACTGTTGTTACTGCCGTCTACTGTTGTAGACGGCAGATCAGAATTAAATAAAACAGCAGGAACAAAGCACACTACTGTCGTGAGTGATGTACATCACACTGTGATAGACGGTACTTTGAAATGAAATAAATCTCCGACATGTAGGTATAGGATTAGAGCAGTGCACTAAGGTTGCCAGCTATTCGAGTTGATGGAAACGACGAGGTTTCCTTAAATGTATAATTTCTAATTTTCTAGAAATTGGAAACTTCCGCAAGCTTCTAATTTATTTCGTTAAAAGAAATGTTTTATGTGCTTGAGACCATCGCGAGAAGCTTTCAGTACTCTTGTAATCGGTGCATGGGACTGAGAGCTGGAACATTGTTGAACCTTTGCTTTCTCATATCTCCGTGAATCTGTCTTATTGTGTGACCTGGGACATTTGAAGCGGTAATTTTAAGCAAATCATAGGGTGTTTTTTTCTACTTTAGTAACAAAAATGTGAACCAACTGAGCTCGAATGCTTCCATGTTTGATTTCAGGCCAAATAAAAATGTGCCCGCCCAAAAGCTGTTGTGACTGATCTGATTGTATAATTGTAGTTTCAGGCAACGTTATTACGCTCATATTAACCCAGCGCTTTCGACAGTAATTTGATTTCAGAGAATATCGAGGGAGTTGCTGTTGTGCTATATTTTGTTAAATTTAAAACGCCTAATAAAATTGAAATGACAAAACTTGATCAAATTATCTTAATTAAACAAGAGAGTTGCTTATGCTAATGCTTCTGGTGACGCTGTATTTAATATTTAAACTGGCAAGCAATAGATGTAATAGTTTTTTTTTCTTAATTTCCTGAGGCCACAAAAGACCTGCATTGTTGCTGAAGGTATTTTAAGAGAAATAATTGCGCCTACCAGGCACGGGGTTTTAGGCCCTTCCTTTGTAAGTTCCTGTCCCCCATCAGAATTTTGGCAAAGACGGCGGCATGGAACACCCGGTATATTCTAAAAAAAGAAAAAAAATACAAGGATGGTAATTCTATTTCTCCAATTTGCGCACCTAGAAGTCTAAAAATTACTTCCGAATATCAGCTCAATTTTATATCAATGATTACAATAATGTTCAATATAAAGCTGTACGAATGCAGAGGACTAAACCAAGCATGGGCGTAATTTGCCGTTCAATGAACTGAAAAAAAATACTTTATACTTTTAAATTTGATATATATTAGTGTTTCACAATAGACCCAGTGTAAATTGCTATCCGCGAGAATATTGCGTTTTAAGTAAAAACTGAAGCTTCATCAACCCCATCACTTGCCTGGATATTTGTAAGCTCGTAAGAAAAATATTAAAAGTTAAAACCACGACTTTAGTATCAGTGCACCTTCTGTAGCCTGTTAAGAAACTCGAAGCTTTCATTGTATGCGTACGACCATTGTTTTCAAGTATATCATTTTATTCCGCTCCAGCTTCATGCCAAGGAGAGTATGTCTAAATGTGTCTTTCTTAAATCTGTCAAATTTAGAATTATGTCATTTATATCCATGGGTTTAGTGAGATGCTTTTAATAAAATAATGTAGCAAAATTAAAAATTTGCTAGGCAGCTGCGTGGTTTAAAGTGATCAAACCTATAAGAAAAAAACTTTATTAGAATGTAGATGTCAACATCAAGCAGGACGCCTACATTAAGAGGAAACTACCAACAGTTATAGTCACCCCTTCTTGCAAACGTCTTGTCTGATGGCGTATTTCGTGCATCCAACATTTAAACATGTGTTCGCTGAATCAAAGAAAAGAGATCTTCGATGACTTTAAAAATCATTTTTTTTAAATATTAAAGCTAGATACTGATGTGTGAAGCGGAGTAAATGTGAAAATTGAAGATGTCTTGAGTTATTCTTGTACATAGGAGCTGCTCGCCGCATAAGTCAGTTATTAAGGCCTACTGCATTTACCTAGCGGGAAATTCAATATCATGACGTCTGATGTTTAAAAACAGCCTTATTTTAAAGTGTTTCGGTTTGAAGAGTATAAACAAGAATACGAAGTTTCTTCTGAGTCGACTAAGTTGTTTTAAAAGCTTCCACCTTTACCCACAAGAACCTGTAATCACTCGACCATTAGCAGACCTGCTACCATGCAGTAAGGTATGAACGTGTTAAATTATATTTTCATACTTTTAAAATTATCATGTATTTTCCAATAACGAAAAGAATGTTTACAAATAAAGCCACATCCATACTTGCAGTAATGAAACGTTTAATATGCAAGAATGCTTCACCACTCCAGCGCTAGGGAATTGAATGAGATAGGTCGTTAACAGTTAAAATACCAATTTCGATCGTGATGCGTAGTTTACTCAGGTAGAGATTCGTCCGCTTTCTTTGCTTGATTCCTTTTATAAATAGCTAATTTGGAGGGATATGGAAAGTTTAGTTGGTTTAAGCAAAAAATGGACACATTTTTTTTAATTTGAAAAAGAAAAAAGCAACGTACATTTAGCTTACGGAGAAGACGGTGATGCGTTCGCGGTTTATAGACATCTTAACAATTAAATTATTAAAACAGCTAAAGTTTAGTCACTCTCACTTCATTACCTGAGTTTTGTTGTTAATTTTTAAATGAGAGAATATCCCGCAGCTACATTCCGCTCTGAGGCTTGACCAGTGGACTTTTCTTATACCATACGTTATTGCTGCCCACAAAACTTTAGAAAGGTCTCCGAGTTTTGTATTTTCGTGATTTTAATTTTCTATATTAATGACATCGTGCCCTGTCTATAGAGACACCACAGGATAAGGATCCGAGTGGTAAAGAGAAGGAGTAAATCAAAATTTTTAACTGACTAGTTTGTTATATTTTTAGTCAAAAACGTAAAAAAAAAGAAATATGTTTGAGCCTTAACGTTTTCTAAACTCATTTTTATATAAATAAATAGATTCCAATAGTTTATTTTATTTTTTTGTAAAATGAAGATATTTGCGTTTATTCGTACAACGCGTTAACTCTAACATCTGCCAAAGATCTTCGTGCTAAATCTACGCATCGCACAAAAGTAAAGTGGGTGCCGTAAAGGTCACAGAGTAGGCTCATATTTATTTATGTACGTGTAGTTCGAAATATTACGTGTAGAATATATTTGCAGAATTATACTTATATACAATAAAATAAACAGTTAGTTTTGATGTAGCGGTGATGGAAATCGTCGAAATATTCTCCATAATTAAATTTTGCAAAAATACAAGGCGCGAACCATCATTTTGAAGGCACCAAAGATGCAATGAACTGCGACCTGTCTGCGATATTTTTCTTCGTCCTATTATCCTCCTCTTTCTTGTGCGTGTAGCATAACCGATCACTTTAACGCATTACCACGCTTTCCACGCGGTCCGAGCCTCTCCAAGATGAAATTATCTAGTTGTTTTCGATTACGCTCATTAAGTTGCTGATTAGAACCATATGCTCATTTCTTATAATTGTAAATAACGAATTCGAACATATGTCAAATATTATTTACTTCCCTAAATTGGATTATTCTAAAAAATAAACAAAAAAACATTGCACCAATATATATTTTTTTTTTTGCTTGCAATTTTTTGTAGTCAATGCTGCCAATTGAATCCAAAGCAGTCTCCTGAGGGAAGGTGGCTACTGTGAATATGTGCTTGCAAAAAAACCTGAAACCCCTGCCAATTTCGAACTTAACTTTTCACACACAAAAAAAACTGTGTCTGCTTTATTGCGATGAAAATGTTTCCGTAGAATCTTAGATTTACGCGTCGAACACAAATTTCCCTATACTTCCAAGGATTTGCACTTGAAGATCGGAATTTAATTAGACCTTAAAAAAAATATTCGCAATATTTTTGTGTTATGTCGTTCTCACCCAGCAGGGATTTGGATTTGCAGACGCTGTAAATAATAATAATAATAATAAAATTTATTCAGTAGTGCAAGTATAGCCAGTTGAGTATCGGGTCCGATCAAAGCCATCAGGGACTTGTGGGACCAGACCCTTCACTGGAAAGTACAAAAAAGGAAGTTCGCACGGAATAACATCACGTGCAGGAAAAAAAAAAAGCAAATAACATACAGATGATTCACTTGACAGGATGTAGTCGGAATGCTTGTGTCAGTGACTTCGGTAAAGCTGTGAAGATGAAACTATAGCAAACGTTGTCTTGATCACTGTGCCAATTACAATCATTAAAGTCATAAAAGTAAAAAAAAAACAAAAAAACACTCAGGCATGAGTATTTTTAAACACTGTAAGAGTACATTCGAAGACACAGTCCTTGAATTCATGAGTCTTTCTCTCAAATATTTCATATGTTAGTAAGAGAAAAAAAAAACACTTATTACTAGAAAGAAAATCATTCAGTCAACGGGTCGAAGACAAAAAAACATCACGCAATAAATGTAGTCGTCATTTGACATGTCCAGCGATTACCACAAAAGCACGTACAGCACCATACTACAAAAGAAAAGGAAAATAACATGGGAAAAAGTCACTATCTAGCCACATCGGCAAACATGTTTCTCAGAGAGGTCTTCAGCATTTTGTTTGAGGTAATGGCAAGCAGAGCAGCTGGAACGTCGTTAAAAACTTTTGGCACATAAAAGGAACGCATGCTTTCGCCATAGTGAGTCCTCACTCGAGGAGATTGAAAACGCAGAACAGATCTAAGCTCGCGAGATGGACTGGCCGAGACCTTAAACTCACTATCCCAGAAGTGTCGCCAAATTACTGTTTGAAGAAAGAGTGAATGAAAACACGGTAGCTTAAGTGAAGCAAACAAGCTCGTACTAGATGACATGTGTGTGTTGTATGCTACACTCTTCAGAATTCCCTTTAACGCACGATCAATTCTTGAGTGCCAAAAGAGGGGACAGTTAAAAAATATGCTTATGCCATACCTTAGTGTACTATAGGCTAACGCGTGCATAATGCTCTTTCTAATTGACAAAGGTAGAAACGATTTGATATTGTAAAGCAGACATGAGACAGTTCTTAATCGTTGGCATATATATGACATGTGAGAGTTCCATGAGAGATCACTGTCGAAGTGAAGACCTAAATACTTTACGGAGCTAACATATTCAACTGGTGTACAGTTAGAGCATGAGCAATTGGTGTTGTGGAGAAATAGCTGAGAAGTCAAGCTTACATTTTTTAAAGGGCTATGAAAGCACACCAGCTTCGTTTTTGAAGCGTTTACACGAAGCTTGTTGGCAAAAAACCAGTCCATTATTTTAGCGACATCGATCTGAAGCATTTCAATTGCGCGCTCGTACACTAGATGTCGAGAAAGTATAAGGGTGTCATCGGCATATTGAAATACTTTAGAAGTTGTGATTGACGTTGAAATATCATTTACGTAGATATTAAAAAATAATGGAGACAAAATAGAGCCTTGTGGAACTCCGGAAGTTAGGAAAGCGAGGGAGCTGTGTACGTTACCAACTGAAACAACTTGGGTACGATTTATTAGAAAACTTTTTAACAATGTATGAAATGGGCCACGAAAGCCCACTCTGTAAAGCTTGTCTAAGAGGATGTTATGGTTTACGGAATCGAACGCCTTGGCAACGTCTATAAAGAGTGCGCACACAAACATGTTATTGTCAAAGGAAGAGTGTAGAATGTCCGAAAATTCTTCAAGAAGATTAATGGTACCACGACCAGTGACGAAACCGTATTGATGTGGCGAAATTATACTGTATTTCTCAAGAAACCCAGACATAGCAATAAATATATGTTTCTCCAATATTTGTGAGATGCAGGACAATATAGAGATAGGCCTGTATGATGAAACATGGTTTGGTACTCCACCCTTAAAGAGTGGAATAACCATGGCCTGCTTTAAGTCGTTTGGAACTTCTCCAGTTTCGAGAAAGTTATTTATCATTACAAGGAGAACATTCTTCAAAGAGTCATAATTTCGGCATAAGTCACGCACTGTTATTCCATCGACACCGGCCGACCTAAAGCGTTTGAAGGCAAATAGGTATGACCGCAGTTCTGGCTCTGAGAGAGGTGGAAGAAAAGCGGAATCAGAGATAGATGAAGTGCCGTCTGCAGGATCCTCATCACTGTCTACCGAGAGTGCGACTGAATTCGCGAAGAACACATTAAAGGCATTAACAGTAGAGGTCAAGTCCGACCCGAAATGTTTTTGCAATGTCTCAGTCGAGTCCTTTTTTTCATGTCCACGAAGCTCATTGACAACTGACCAAGTTTTTCTGGAGTCAGCACGTGCGTTTGCAATCCTTTTAGCATAATATTTTCTTTTTGCTGATCGAATAAGGGCATTCACCCTATTTCTTTGTATTTTACATTCTATTTTGAGATTGGCATTGTTGGGAGAGCGCCGAAACTTCTTCCACAATTGTTCTTTCTGCGTTATACTGTTAATAATATCTGAAGTAAGCCAAGGCAGTGAGGGTTTACGTTTTTTAACATATATAACGGTCATCGATAACTCCCGAAAATTTCTAATGATGTCCACAAACACTGTGTACAAGTTTGTGCTGTTAACCGAGGATAGAAATTCATTCCAATCATATTCTTTAATTAGTCGATCAAAAGTGTTTAAGTCAACCCGCTCTAAACGGCACGGGCTCTCGAAATTATAACCTTTTTTGGAGGGAAAAACACATTTACATGCGACAAAAAAATGATCTGCAAGCTTTTGTAAAATGACAGCGGAGTGAATGGAAGCATCTGAAGCTCGGACGTTTATATGATCTAGGCAGGATGATACAATATTTTCATTTAATACTTCTTCACGGGTCGCACTCTGAACGGTAGGTATGATTCCATGCTCTGCAAGTAGTGATAAATAATCACAAACACATTTTTTTGAAGTTTTGAGGGTGTCAATGTTGATATCTCCCACCAAATATAAATGTGCTTCAGTAGACAATTCTTCCAAATTTTCCCTCAGCTCCTCTAAAAAGCCAGAGCAGTTAGACGAAGGAGGTCTGTAAAGTGCAAGCAAGCAAACCGTATAGTTAGAATTAGAAACCTTTAGCATCAAGCTCTCTGAGTGTTGAAATTTGACATCAGTTTGAGTTGTTGACCATGAGTTCCTTATAAATACGCCGATTCCTCCTCCTCGAGTAATTGGCCGTGTATAAAAGAAATTTTGAAATCCTAAAATCGTAAACTGTGACAGATGGTCGGCACTGACATTAATTTCTGTTAGCACAATTGCATCAATTTGGTCCCTCATTTGATCAATAACTGTCTTAAATTCATCCCAGTATTTTCGAATACTGCGAATGTTTATGTGTAAGACCATGAAAGAGTCGGTTGAAGAAGAGGAGAACGAACTGTTAAACGTGATAAAATCGGCGTACTGTAAAAAACTAGCCATGTTGGTTATGTCATTAGGTCCAGGTCACTTCTCTGTTGAATCCGTACCGGAGAAACGCCCTCATCTTTTCTGGCAAAAATTCGAGCATTTTTGACCCACACAAATTTGTAACCGCGTTCTTTTCCAAGAGCACGTGCTTGCCAGAAAAGTTCTCTGTTGGTCTGAGTTAAGCTGTCGTTGAAATACAGTCTTTCGGGTGGATTGTCACGAGACAATTGCCTGAGCTTACTACGAGCTTGCATCCATTTGTCTTTAGTGGCTACAGATGTAAACTTGACCAAAATAGGTGGTTTTATAGCTCGTTTGCCTGGTAGCCTGAAGACCGAGACGACATCAGCTGGTTGATGTCCCGGAATTCCTAGCTTGTCTGCCAGCCCCGCTAAGATGGAAGGGAGCGCCTCGTCGGGTTTGACGGTCATTCCATGAATTTCCATAATATGTTGGCGACCGCGTTGGTCAGCGTCGTTCAGCTCGGTCTGGAGGCTTTGGATAGTATGTGCCTGTTCGCAAACCGTGTCCTTCAGAGAAGCTACTTCCGTACGCAGCTCGTTCATGTCGGTCGCATGAGCAGACACCGTGGCGAGGAGGCTATCGTATTTCGTTCCAAGGAAAGAAATGGATGTTTGGACCTCCTCCACCGTCACTCTCATGAGATCTATGGTAGGCTTGAGGAGCAAAAGCTCATTCACCTTTGCAGGAAGCTCGAGAAGTAAATTTACACTAGCCTTCAGAGAAAGTAATGAATCTAGCTTTTCGTTGATGGTTAGGATTTGCGCCGCGAGTGTCGTGGAATCGCAGGACGAAATCGAGTCAGAGCTAGCATCTACCCCATCTAGATCAGCACGATTGTTCTTAGAACGGCAAACTTTACATCTCCATTTTTCTTTTTTGTCGGGGCTCATGGCAGTAAACGTGGACTCGGCAATGCCTGAGCACATTTTCCCCAGATGATAGTTATGCTCGCAAACTGAGCATGTCATCAGTCGACCATCTGGCAAAATGCCTTTTTGGCAAGCGTCGCAAACGAGGGACATAATCGTCGAATTAAATGATATTAAAATAGGTAGAAATAATGTGAGTACTGTAAGCACACCTAGGTAGGCTACACCAGCTAAACAGTATATCAAGAGCAGCTTGGCACGGTCACCGAGAAAATGGAACTTCTCAAAGCACTGATGATCGGTTACCGGCAAGGCGCGTTCGTGGATGTTCGCTGGTTGGTTCAGGGTCGATGTTGAGTCGCAGAAGGTCGCCGAAAGGCTCGGATGAGCATGGGCACCAACTGCTGACTGAATGGTCGATGTACAGTAATGGCGGTGATGAACGGGGCCGCAGTCACGATCTTCGAAGCAGTAAATCAGAAGCCACGACTGAATGTCGATCTTTGAGCCGGTAAGATGAGGTCGTCTAACTCCCCGTTACACCATTCAGAAGGCGAGTTGAAGGTCATCGGATAAGGATTTTGAATTACAATTCTCAGAGTGGTTAGAACGAGTGCCTGTACATATTCACTTCCTCTTCTTCAAGAAGAGTAATGGGACAATATTAGCAAAATTTTAAGACGTCTAGTTACACAAATGGTTCTTTTACATTCAACACTTGAACGATTTCAGCCTAACTGGCTTCGGGTACAGTGATAGCCGCCGTGCCCCTCAGACCTAACACCACGCATCGTGACACTAATTTTGAGGTTACTGAAATATGAATTCATTATCATAATGGAATGTCAAGAATATTACGGAGGTCGATTATAAATATGGTGCTTGCAGCGCGTCTCCAACTGGTGCGTTTGGAGTCGTATGCCGCCCATACATTAAAAGTGGTCACGAAGTGTTAACAAATGACGTCACAGAAGCCGGAGTATCTGTATTACAGTAACAGTAGCCGGAGAACCTGTATTACAGTTTGCAACTGCTTGATTGGGGTCACATGGTTTATCGGCCACGTTTGCACTATATCTGCGAGGAGGTTCCGCAAGCGCTGATCGTTTGCAGACGTCTCCGCCTTTCTACCTGGTTTTCTTCTCGCCACACAAAAACGCAGTGCATGCGCACTGGCGACCAATCTCCTCAGGGGGCGTCCGCCATTAAATTGCAAACGCTCCCCAGGGTTTGAGATGAACACTCTCTCTCATCGGGGCTCATTATGTCATGCTGTTGAATGTCGCGATCCTGGCGGTTGGTCGTGCAAATGCTGAAGGAAAGAACGAGCGAACGCGAGTGTCACTGTCGTCGCAGCGTCCCATATTCTGGCTGCCGGAGCTTCCGGAAACTGACAAACTGGAAAGCGACCTGCAGCAAAACAGAGGTCCGGCGAATCCATCCCGGCTGATGTTTTCCAAAAAACAAAGCATTCTTGGGAAAAGCTTTTTTCTTGTTTTTTACATCGAAATAAAAAGCCGAAGAGTTAGTGATACCAAATTTATATTAAATATTAACAATCCCATTAAAGAGATATTGAACCGAAATTTAGAGCTCACAAAACAAGGCTGGAGCGATAGGCGGGACGCTGCGAAACCCCAACATCACTCATACAACCACAACTCTAACGGATGGCCACATTTTTAAAAAGAAGTGCGCGATTACACACGGCCGACGAGGCCGACGAGACATGTGGCGATACTCATCCCCTCCCCTCCTCGCTTCGTACCTTCCAGCTGGTAGAACGAAGCAAAAAGGAGAGAAGCGAGACCACTTCCGATCATTCTCAACTGCTCAAGGATGATCGTGACGTCATAGTCCTCACTTCATCGCGCCCTTCTTTTCCAATAATACGGTCATCCGTTTGAGAAATCGATGTATGAGTTATGTTTTGGAGTTCGTAGGCGTCCCGCTCAACGTATCTGCGGCCTCCTTTTGCGAAATCCAAATCTGGGTTCAGCATCCCTTTAAAAGCCGACGTACAATTAACGAGAAAAGAGTCAAAGTACAGGCTAGCTGGTGGAAGTCAACCATTTCGTCGTTTACCCTGAGACTGGGGTTTTTTTTTTTTTTTTTTTGAAGAGCAGAAGAAACAGAAAAAACAGACAGGTCTGAGTGGTAGCTGAGTTTGAGACCTGTCTGTTTTTTCTGTTTCTTCTGCTCTACAAAAAAAAACCCCCAGTCTCAGGGTAAACGACGAAATGGTACAATTAACCTACGTTTTTTGCGGGGGGGGGGGGGGGGATAATCTTTTTAACGCTCCGCTCTCCTACGCTGCGAGGGGAGACAAGTTGGGCGACACCTTCTAAAAGAGAAGGCCGTATCGGTCCGAGTCGTTACTTCACAATGTCAGGGAAGGAAGGCCATGGCGCAACTACGTGAAAAAATATCTTGTGTTGCGACGTGAAAAAATGTTTCTTGTCGAGAGGCGCGGTGAATGGACCTTTTCCGAGAAGCGTTCTGCGCACTCGCGAGCGCCCGATGCCAAGCGGCGGAAGTTGGAATGAAGAATCGAGGAAATTCGGAAGGAGGCTGTTTATAAGCGAGTAGAGCACGTAATTGCAGGATATATATAATTGTGTTACACAAAAAAAGAAAGTGGACAGAAAGAAAAACACAACGTTTGGGTGGACGCCACGGATGCCCATCTTTAAAGTCGCGTTGGGCACGCGCCGCTGCTCAGAGAGCGAAGAAACTGGTAGCGTAGCTCCCAGTATCGATTGGTAGCGCAGGTAGGTCACTTCCTCGATTTTTAGTTCGTGCAGCCACCGCCTGGTGCCGTCGGTATGTGGAAAAGGTCCATTGGCGTCGCTGGCGTTGCTGGCTTTTGTAGCATTTTGGTTGCGCGTGCCTGCGCGTTCACGCTTGTGTTACCAAGGGCAGAAAGCTCGCGCTGAGGGCGACCTAGTCTCAGCTTAAAGGACACGTGCAAAGGAAAAAAAGCTTTTTTTTAACGGGCTAGATGGGAAAAGAATATTATAAAGCAAATTTACAACGAAGACGAAAAATTTAGAGCTATAGACCAGTCCAATATTTACCACTCCGCAGCCCAGCGTGCGATCTCCTCGGCCCAGTACGCGCATGTTCGTCGCTTCGGAAAGCGAACAAATCACGCGCAATACGCACAAACACTCAAAATAGAACTGGCCAGAAGCCCTTTTTTCGAAAGGTTTATATTTACGGCGCAAAACGAATTTGTAGTTGGCGCCCGCGGGAGCCGCCGCTGGTCACGTGGTAGGCCCGCGCGCCGCCGCCGTAAAGTCACGCCGCTGCCGCACGCTGAACGTTGTGCGACGCCGCTTCAACGCGTTTCTTCACGCCGCCGTCACCGCTGCCGCACGAGTTCGTCTGCCTCGGGGCGCCGCCGCCGTCATCTGACCGGTGCACAGGTCTATCGTGTCTGCTCGCGTTTTTTCAGGAGTTTCCTTTGGGCTCTAAAAGTTACTTATTCATCTTAGCTTTTCGTTATACTTCAAACAATAATGAATAAGTTACTTCTAGAGGCCATAGAAAGCTTCCGAAAGAGCGCAAGCAGCACGTGATAAATAAGGGCCAGTCACGTGATAAATAAGGGCCACTTTTCCGCGCCGCCCGCGGGCGCCAACTACAAATTCGTATACACCGTACATATAACTCTAAAATTTTTTCTTCGTTGTAAAATCGTTTTATGACATCCTTTTTCCATCTAAGCTGTTTAAAAGAAAAAATGATTTTTTCCTTTGCGTGTGTCCTTTAAAAGTGAAAGGAGTATAGCCAATTGGTATTTGCAACGTACGCGATCAAAAGCGTCGTGGTCGTCGGCCTCCCACGATTGACCGAATGCTGACTTTGACGTCAGCAAAGGTTTTCTCATCGACAGAAATAAAAGTAATGTAAGAACTTCAATTTGACGGTGTTGGCGGTGTTGGTTTTAGAGCGCAATGATCTCAAGTTTTATCCATGTTAATTATAAACACCGTCGAACCTGCTGTTTTTAAGGTAATGACGTCACGAGACGCAACCATAGGAGGGCGCCACCAAAACATCTCGCCGCTAATAGATCAAAATCAGTTGACAAGCTTCCTAGAACGTCATAAGATGAATGCTTGCACGAGCGTTTGAGCAAGGAAGGCATTTTCGAAAGCCATGGGCTCTCGCCACTGCCTTTTCCAGCACTAGAGTGTACTAGAAAGAACGAGTGAGACCACAAGCGAAGTGGGTCGGATTAGCCGCTTTTTATGAAAAACGCATTTCGTTCCAGCGCCAAGCTCGGCCGGCGCACTGGTGAAGGTCATAGAAACGATAAAACGCCGGACTATATTTTTTATATAACCTAGACGTCAGACGTCACGTACATAAAGTCACCGCGACGTCACAACGCCATGCAACATCAGGACGACGCCTTGACGTCAACGTCGTGCGTTAGACAACATCAAGACTGCGTTCTGACGTCATATTGCGTTGACGTTGATGACGACGACGACAACGTCACGGGACGTCCAGATGACGGCATCCTTGTCAATGCAACGTCACAAGGACACTTGGTGTCAGTTCCTTGACGTCGTTGTCGACATGACGCAGCTCGACGTCACGAAGACGTCCCGACAGCTCCACGACGTCGACGTCATCGTCGACGGCGTTGCGCGACGTCAAGTCTTCGTCGTGACTGCGCGTCGACGTTGATGCTGGTGAAGGCGACGACGTTACACGCCTCAAGGCTTCGTCATGACGTTCACGATGATGTCAGGCCGACGTTAACGTGATGTCATAGCGATGTTTGGCGTTGCGTGGGGCGTCGACGTCAACGTCGGCATCGACGGCCACGTCCATGTCGTCCTCGATGTAACGCGCGAGTCATGACCGCGTTAAAACGGCGGCTTGATGTTCGCGTAACCACGTCGTCCTTAACGCGGCGCGATGTCACGACCGCGCTCCAACGGCGACTTGATGTCGCCAAACGGCGTCGTCCTCGACGCGACGCGATTTCACGACGGCCTTATGACAGCATCTTGGCGTCGCGTAACGGCGTCGACGGTGACGTCGTGGCGTCCTCTTGTCGTGGTGCTTTGACGTTGCCTCTGCCGTCAAAATCATGAAAAATACAATATAGGGGGACTATATTGCCCATATGATTT